TTTTCATCCATTGCCCCCTCGTGCCCCCCTTCATTCCCGCCTTGTGTTTCATCCATTGCCCCCTCGTGCCCCTCTTCATTCCCCCTTGTGTTTGATCCATTGCCGCTTGTGCACTCCCCATGCCCCTCTTCCTCTTCCAGGATCACGTTGAACAACAATTTCTTTCAGGTCACTGTCAGTGCCTGACCTGCACTGTACAGTGCAGGGAGCACAATTTTCGCTTGTTGAATAAGCCAGGCAGTTGACTGGCACCCAAATTCGGCCACATTTACCACTTAAGCAGAAGCAGGGTTCCCAACAGAATCCACCGCTGAAATCCACCAAGTATAGTAGACACATGTGATACAATAGACCGACCTTGCATCTCACATCCTCCCCGCATAGGCAACGTCGTGCACGTGGTGGCCCTGGTGGCCGCAGTGCGCCGCCTCTCTCGGCAGCTGCTCTTCGCCGATCTGCTGCCCGCGGGTTCGCCCAAGGACGGCGAGCGGAGCGTGTGGCGCCTGGGTCGCAGGGACGGACCCAACGGCCCCAACGACGGCGACAGAGAATGTCCTGTCATGGTAAGGGATGGTCAAGTGCCCAACTCTGATCCAAGAATCCAATCCACTCTGCCTCCATCTTTCGTCTCCCCATCCATCGCCTCATCCCCTATATAGGTCTTCCATGGTCTTCCCTGTTTTGTGCCGGCCTCGCTTCCGCGTGGCGTTTGGCACGGCGTTCGGCGCAGCACGGCACGCCGAGGCTCTCGCCCGACGGCTCCGGGAAGCTGGTCCGGCTCCAGTTGCTGCTGGGCCGCTCCTTGGCCGAACGCCTCGGCGGCGACGGCCTGAGCGCGGTGGTGAAGCGCCTCCGCCCCATGCAGCCGCCCGGCGACGAGGGGACGGGTGATGGGACGGAGTAAGGATGGCACATGCTTCCAGGATCTTCCAGGGCTCTTTTGTTACTACGGTACCGACGTTTTGGGGGAAAGTTCACTGGGCACCAGGAGTGGTCAGATCGTCGAACATGCCACAATGACGAGGGGTTTGATTGGCAATGGGCACGATATTGCCCAGCACTCGTGTGCAATAGTGATAGCTATACATATAAGCCAACTCTGACCTGCCAACATGGAAGTGGAAAATGGTCCCTTGGAAGACGACGTTCTTACAATGAGGGGGCTTTCCACTTCCATGTCAGTGGGTCGGAGTGTATGCAACAGTAACATGGTCACCAAGTCACTCCAAAAAAACCCGGCCTACCTGCCAACGAGCCAATTTACCGTGGGAAAATGCTTTGCTGTGCTTGATTCAGGCTGGTCTATGTGGCCGGACGCTTGCAGTTAGAGGAGCCGGGGGAGCAGTGTGGCAAGGCCACTCCTGCAGCGCCCACGGAGGCACGGGTCGTGGTGCTGAAAGCAGGTGAAAGCAACCAAGGTTATGTTCTTGTCAGGACTCCGGGTTCAAATCCCAAGTGGGGGATATTTTCAAGAGTCAGGAGGGGGACACACACACACATGATGCATCATGATGCAACCTAGCGGACCTATCGTGAGCGTCCCGGGAACTTCTAGTGATTCTTGGTTTGAGTCGTTGATTTTCCAGGTGCGGAAGATCCGCGAGGCACAGCTGAGCAATGGCATTGTGGACATGGCAGAGCAGACGCGCAGATGCACACTATGACTGTCCCTGAGGGTTAATGGCACAACTGTGACGGTCCCTGAGGGTTGGGGGGAGGTCCTTATTTAATTAAGGAGATTCGATGACTGCTATCTACTAGGAGGTTCCTTCCAATCCAATAGCTTCCCTGCGCAATCATAGAAGGTTTGGGCTCCAAGTTTCACGTCTTTCTGTTTGGTCCAACCACTGAAGTTTGCTGGTCTATGGTTCGGCTATGTTTTGTTCCTGCTTTCCCCCAGAAAGCAGCCACCAGAGCTGGTTGGGACGTCCTTTGCCCTCCCTGATAAAAGTGGACGGCATGGCCGAAGCAGGATGGCCACTTTCCAAAGACCAAACCGTTGGTTTCATCCACTTCCCATGAGGGTGGTCTTCCTAGTGAGTGCACAAAAGCGCATTGAACATCGGTCTCCATAGACTGGTGCTCAGAGGCTTTTTGCGATGAAAGCGAATAATACGCCATCCACCACACAATGGGACTGATGGGGACGGATGATTCTTGAGATTGCCTGATTGCTTCTACTTGAGCACCTGCCACTGCATGTTGGCTGAGGAGACCATTGATTGAATTACACATCCTGAAACATGAAAGCAACGCCTTAGCCTCTCCTTAATGGATATATACTCGAGCTCTACTTGATTATACTTAGACTTATATCGTGGAATCTTGTGGGCAGTCAGGAGTATTGGGGGAGCAAGCATTTGCTGCCACGGTCGCTAGTAACCACTAGTAGATGTTTTGGGTCTCACTAACGTCCAAACACATCTAGCACTTCAAGTGCCCCCTTGAGGCGCCCTTTCCACCTCACTGCTTAAAACCTGGAGTTGTGGCTTAATTTGTTCTCGGGTGACAAGGGCTGTCCCCTCTCGGTATGTTATATGCAGCATCTCTCTTTATATATGCTATGCTTTCTACATGCTCTGACTTTCTCCGCGAGGATTCGTATTTTGGAGGAGGCCCTGAGTCAGGGAAGTTGGTGAATCCGAGCAAGCCCGGTGACTGATGTGAACAAACATATGCCAAAGCATGCGACTGTTTTAAATGGACATCCCACTTGTAAGTCAGCATCGCCCTGACATATTTTTCTTGTAAATGGTGACTAGATTTGAAGCCTGTTGGAAGTGACATGCCTTAAGTTTTTATGTTTGCGGCTTTAAGTTCATGACGGCTTGTGAAGAAGATGTCGGCAGTCTTCTTCGAATTTCCCGGAAGGAGGCCCACCCCTTGCAATTCAAAGGGGATTTGTTCAGCTTCTTTGGGCCAAATTTTGCCATAGTCATCCAATAATCAAGAAGCCTGCGTGGTACAACTCGTAGGACATGAAGGAATGCCCAAGCCAACCAGGACGTGATAGGACGTGGCTTTTGGACTTGGGCGCTTAAGCGTCAAGTGACTGTAGGAAATGAAGGACTGGGCTGTGTCTAGACATTTCGGTCTACACCTTTCGATATTTTGATTCAGTTGCTCAGTCACACCTCAGACCATGCGAATGACCTCACTCATCTGACCTGCAGGTCCATTTGCCTTCTGAGCTATCGGGCTCGGCACGACAGGTTGGCGTCAAGAAGGCCTTGTGGAGGGACCTGGAAGTCTATCCCAGGTGAACTGGCCGGGGAGCTAACAGACAAGGTATATAGACAATGTTTGTGAGATTGTTTGGACATCAGGCCTGGGCTTTGGTGTGGGTGAATCGTTCGGACCCTCTTTTTTAATAAACCATGTTTCAACACATAGCCTGCTGTGAGTGTTGAGCGGTATCGTGGACCCTGGCAATCCCGAGGTACTTAGTGAACTGAGTCAACATGAGTCAACTACAGCCAAGTGGCTTTGAGTTGCCTAAGAGTCGAGCAATCTTTGATGTTGAGCTATACCGCATGATATTCGCAGCCACTTTTTACTAAATGGATGTCGGATGTCTCGCTCCAAGAATTCGAAAGTGTTGCCAGCAGTCTTGCTTCTTCCGTGACCGATCCACATCCATGGAATCCATCGCCGACCTGAGAAACGACTTGGAACCTGACCGTGGCACCGACCTTAACCCTTCGGGTCACCGCTACCGCCACCCCAGGAGCTCCCACCGACTGCGCACGCACCGGACAGCGGACTGCCCACGCTGCCACTGGCGCTGCCACAGCGGGCAGTGCACGTGGTGACCGACCTGCAGGGCGTGGAGTTGCTGGAGAACGTGCTGCGTGAGAGGCGACCTGGGATGACCTGGGCGTTGGCTGTTGTGCTGGGGGGAGCCAGGAGCCTGCAGCGCTCGTCTTGAACACAAAACACCAGTGATATTTAGGCGCGGGGGATCTTCATCCGTTCTCGCATCCAATTGCATTTCAAGCAGTTAATATATGTTAATATACTTTAGTAAGTATTTTAGTATATTGCGGTGTGTAGTGAGGGTTGTTAGATTCTATCTGAGCTCTACTCCTCCTTCTCCTTCTCCTTCTTCTTCTCCTTCTCTCCTCGCCAACTCTTGATTGCAGTGGGCACTGCCAGACCTCAACCACAACCGGACCTCAACCGCCAGCTCCCGATTGCAGTGGGCGTTGCCGGACCTCAACCGGCAGCGTCCAAGTCCAGTGGGCACCACCGGACCTCAACCACTAGATAAGAATGTCAGATAGAATGCCCCAGATAGAGTGGCAGATAGAATGGCAGAGAGAATATGTATATATATATATCAGATAGAATGCCAGACAGAATGTCAGATAGATTGTCCGAGAGCATGCCAGAAAGAATGTCAGATAGAATGCCCCAGATAGAGTGGCAGATAGAATGGCAGAGAGAATTTTAAAAAAAAATATATATCAGATAGAGTGCCAGGTAGAATGCCAGACAGAATGTCAGATAGAATGTCCGAGAGCATGCCAGAAAGAATGTCAGATAGAATGTGCCAGATAGAGTGGCAGATAGAATGGCAGAGAGAATATATCAGATAGAGTGCCACATAGAATGCCAGACAGAATGCTTGATGGAATAATATGCCGGATACAAAATAGTATGCAGATCTTGGAACGTGCTTATATTGCTTTACTCCTCTATTTGTTTATCTGCCTTCTGGACAACAAATGTACTGGTTTGCATCAAGAAGTGCATGCCATATTTGCTCAGAGGCTGGTGAGTGAACATACAACAGCTGCGCAGAAACATAAAATACTGTAGTTGCACATGTATGAAATGTCATGGTGGGGATCACTCGGAGTAAAGTAATTTTTGCATGCATGTGCACCGTATATTTAGTACTTTGGTCCAACATGTGGGTTTGACCGTTGCGTCGGGGTCGTTGCGGGGGGTCCTCCTTTTTTCACCGGTGTTTCAGTGCTCCTTCCGCTCGCTCTCAGGCTCTCAGGCTCAGGGGATGTGGACCCGCACGACGGTATGGCATCCAAAGAGTCCACGGTCTTCACGCCCTTGCTGCCAGTGATGGGATGCTTGGACTTCGTAGGTAGGGGAGGTGCAGGCTGTTAGGTTGATGTTTCCACCATCAATCGGGGACAAAGGTGAACACAAGCCTGTTAGGCCGTAACAGGCAGGGCGCCAGTGTTCAGAAAGACATGGAATGACGGTGGGTCGATGGAGTGTCTTTGGGTGAATTTGCCGGTCCATCGCGGGGCATTGCAGGCACCCATGTCGCACCCGACGGATCGGGAGGCCTTAATGCTCACCACTGCTCACCCGTTCAGGGCGCTCGCGCTCACGCCCTACGGCCCTGTGGGTGACGAAGCTTCCAACATGCCGGTTTACTTGTGGTGGGCTCCCAAGAGTGCCCCAACAGTGGGAGAATATGTTACAGTTAGTGTTAGTGTGTCGTATATACAACTATAACTACTATTATATATATCTACTGTATACTATATATATATACACGGATAAGATTGCCCATTACCAGTAGCAGACAGTAAAGATTTTCACTATTTTAGAGAAAGGCTTTGGCCAATCTTTGTTCAACTTTCGAACATTTGCTTTTCTGTACTTTTTCGGTTTGCAGCTGTTTTTCTCTCCGCAGCTGTTTTGGGGGGGCGATCGCCCAGCCGCGTTTCATTGGTTGGGAAATTCAGGTTTGAAACAGTCTTGGATTTGTGAAGACCTTTTGGTCCATGTTGGGTGCAAGCCCACCCACCACCCCCCCCAACACCCTGCCAGAAACATCCAAGCACGCCGTGATGGCACTGGCTTGGACGCGTCCTGGTCCAGCAGCATTGGAAGACCAAGACCCCCTTCCTTTGCCCACCAAGGAGGAGGTTCCTGCGGTTCCTACCCGAAGATGGCGCGGCGCCTTTCCAGGTTGGCCAGAAGTGCCCCAAGGCACATCCCGTTCTCTGCAGCAGAACATGAAGCACCTCTAAATACCTGGAAGAGTGGGATTCCTTGACAACTCCACCAAAAGCTTGGCTGCTTGCCAACGTTGGCAACGTTGGTGGGTGGAGCGACAGCTCAATGGCAAGGGAAGGCGGGTAGCGTTCTTGTGAGGACAAGAAAGCTTTTGTGTTGGCAGGGTACTTGGAGCCGTCACCACCTCTTTTGATCTGAGGTGTTGACCTTTGCGCAGCAGCGCAGGCGCTTGCTGCCTGCCAAGGCCATTGTTCGCAGATCCGTTGGAAAGCAGCGGAAGACTGCTGGAGTTTGGAGTGGTTGCTGGCAGGCCCCCGCAGAGAAGATGGCCACTATCCAGCCCACACAGACATGGCAGCTCAATGTAGGATGGCCGTGTTCAACCCCTGATAACTGGATGGTGGATGGAAAGTGCATGGGGGCCGTGGGCTTTTTCTTTCCGTCAACCTAGCAAGAAAGCAACGCTACAGCTACGCTCCAGAAGCAGCCAGCACCCGTGGATTGAGGTCTGGAACTTCAACAGGACACCACTTTGCAGGAAGTGACAATGACCTGCAGCCTTGCTCACTGTGCTCGATGTCAGGCCATAGGGCACTGGGCACGGGGGCCAAAAAACAGGACTGTCAGAGAATCGTTCAATCATGGGCAGCGTGTTTTTTGGCACGCGCAATAAATTGATTGTCTTGCGCTGGCTTCTGCAGCGATTTTGCTGCTCTGGTTCTCTGATTTGGCAGTATGGCCTGATGGCAAGCCACGCAGCTTGTCCATCCCAGACTTGGCATCGAATGCTATAGGAAGGTGTGAGACGGGGGTGGCATCTCCTTTCAAGCTGCCTGCCAGCTACTCACAGCCATGTCCAAGTGCGAAGAAGTTGCGGAGTTGCGGAACTTGGCACGCATGCAAGTGACCCTTTGGGTCCAAGTCGGCCACTGTGCCTTCAGTCTTGGCTGCTGGGGAAATCAGAATTGAGGATGGGCTCTACCCCCTGCGATGTCTTTGAAACTGGTCTAGTTGGCGCCTTCAAAAGTCCAGATGGTTTGGTCCCTGGAAATTACGTCGGTGGGCTGCTTTAGGGAACACCAGGCTTTGGAGCAACATACAAACACTCACCACCTTTGAATGCAGCCTTACAACCCTATCCTGTACAGATCCCGGCTCCACAAAGCATTAAACATTGAGAAGCTCTGGCAGATGGTTGCAGTCTAGAAAACATCTCTTGCTCAATGCAGGCAAATGACCCTTCAAGTATCAATTGTCTTGTCATGGGTGATGGAAGGGTCATTTGTGTGCTTTGAAGGGTGCACTGTGTGCGCTGCTGAGTTGTGGACTAGCAGGATTAGAGTAAACACAACCTTGTGTAGCAGAGCTTGTTGACCAATCCCAAGAATAGACCTTTGTAGCAGCGTCGAAGGTTGTGATATTTCGTTTCATCACCAGCGCCTCAACACTTTTGAGCGCAGCCGTATAGCTTATATAGCTCTATGCTGCATGGATTCTGGTCCCCAAAGAAGGGTGATTTGGTAGCGCCAAGGGGTGCTGGAAGCTCATGCAGGTGTTAGAGGCCTTGGGAGACAATCTATTGTTAAGCAACCCTTGCTTCAGGTGTCAAGTGCCTTGTCACGGGTCATTTGAATGCTTTGAATGAAGGGTGTAATGATTTGTGGACCAGCAGGAGCTACTGTAGACAGCCCCCTGCAATGAAGCCTGCACTAAGTTGACCAATCCAAACAAAAACCTTTGCAACGCCACCAGGTGTTGTGACATTGCTATGTGTTTCATGGGCGCTGCAACCCTCAACACCTTTGAATGTAGCCTCAAAACCTACGCTGCATGTAGCCTTAAAACCTACGCTGCATGGCGAACGTATCTATATTGCTCACCAACGCCTAGATGCAACCAAATTATCCTGCAGGTGTAAATGGCTTTGTCACGGGTGATGGAAGGGTCATTTGCGGCTTGTGGACCAGCAGGATCTACACTAGACAAAGCCCCTGTGGCAACGCAAGCTGCGTGTGCGGCGTAGCAGTAGGGTCCAGCAATGGCAGGGCGGATGGATGCAAAAAATTGAGCGACAAACATCTACTGCGCCTTGGGACTGCGCAGCCTTTAGCAATGCCACCAGACACCTGATTGCCGCCTTACAACCCGACTGTGGCGGCTCAACCAGCATTGAAGGTGCTCTGGCAACACATTTTGCAAGAAGAGTCTGGCTGGCGCAGGGTGAGACTAGACTTTTGATTGTTGTTGCAAAGCATTTTCGCCCAGGGACATGTAGCAAATATTCGTCTGGTGGTAAGGGGCAAATCCTTGGCCTTCCACCATTGTGGCCAAAGTATGGATGGATGTTCGCGCAACAAGACGACGACTCATTGCCAAGTGTGCTGTTCCTGCGATCTGCTGATTGATGCACAACATGCCGTTGCTCTTACTGCGCCAGTGGTTTGAGGTCCAAGGTTTGTGGCTGGGATGTGCGCCCGCCTTGTGCCATGCTTGCTTGGCATGATGCTAGCAAGCGCCCCTTCAACAGACTAATGGCGATAAGGTTGCAACACACCAGCTCACAAGCTTTCACTTGGCATAGCCTTTCAAAACCTACACTTGTTTTGGTTGCCTTCGGCTGGAAAGCCACAAGCTGCACCAATCTGCCAAACACTTCAGGAGTGGCTTGCAGAAGAAGGTGCGTTGGCCAGACCTTCAGTTACAGAAGAAATAGATCTTTCAATTCATCATGGCTGTCCATTTGGCATGCCCCCTCTGCCTGTTCTCTCGCCAGGTGGGAGGTGCCAGATGGAAGCGACAAGCAAAGTGTTCAGCAAAGGAAGCGACCAGGGGAAACAGCAGAATATATTTGAATATATAAGACTCCTTTCCTGGTTTCTTTTTCTGAGCCTCGAATTTACGAACCAACTAATCAACGTCACCCACTGTTACATACTGTTAGCTGGTAATGGGCCATACCTCAGGGTGACCCAGGGTCCCATGGGTCCGGTTCTTTCGTATGGCCGCGCGCGATTGGCATTGAGGAGTGGATGCGGAGTGGCAGCCGCGCACCTCCCACGGCCTTGCGCTCTTCCAGATGGCCTTCCGACGATCGGTGCCCCTTGGCGTTGGATGGAAGCATATGGGAACCCGACGAAAAGTTGTGGATGCAGGGACCATTTGAATGCGGATGCATCAACTTCCGTCATCAGCTGGTGCTTCTCATCTACCACGGACATCATGTGGAAGGAGTCTAGAGGCAGCGATCAGATCAAATCAATTGCCCACCTCTTTGCGGGTTTTCCCTCGCACCTCCGAACGCCGCATGCCGAGGTTCTTGCTGGACATGGTGGCGTTGACCCGCCAGGATCCACTCCGAGGACGCGTGGCAGAACTGATCAAGGAGGCTCTTGAGGCAGAGCACTTGTACAAGGCAGGTTTTTGCACGGTTCCATGAAGTTATGGATGGTTTGGGGCCACACATGGCAAAAGTACAGCACGTGGTGTTGAGTTTTTAGATGGCAGGGAACCTGCTTCAACCATTTCACAATTTTCGTAACGGTTTCGGATTGTGTGCCCTTTGTGAAGCTTGTGCGAAAGCCCATGATCGCGAATCGCAAGGTTGATGACTTACTTTGCTTTCATCCTGTGCTATCATGACGCGTAACGTTTGTCAGCGTGCCCCCACAAGAAATACAAGACCTGGTTTCCATCTCGTGTTTTGCCTGAGGTGGGCTTCAACTTGGAGGTGGACCTGCAACGGCTCCACGCCGTACTGCCAGAGACCTCGTGCGCTGTGAACCTCATTGACTTGAGGTTTTCGACGGGCCCGGGGCAATTTTGGGGCAGTCAGGGGGCGCAGGTGAGGGAAAGGAGGCCTCGTGCCGTGTCAAAGGTGGTTGCAGAGCAAAGCTGGCGCAGAAGGTAAAAGTTCCACAAGGTCGCCAAACACCTGGTGCCTGGTCTCCAACTTTGATTCCCAACCACATGATGGCCGGTGACTCTGATCACAATTCAGGTCGGATGTTGATGTCTTGAAGCTTTCGCACAAGTACTCCAGAAAAGACCAGTTGTTTGGTTGCCCTTTCAATTGGAACAAACCCATCGTGTCGGTGCTTCCCATGCTGCAAGGCAAGTACGTGAAGGGAACGCCAGCCGAAATAGTTTTGATAGGTGGTAGTAGTGGATGAAAAAGAAGAGTGTGAACGCAGGGACTTGCACGCGGTGGCCCTGCCGAACGCGCCTTCCAAGCCGCTGAGCTTGACGGGCATGGTCAAGGAGGTCTTTGGGCTGCCTTTGGACAAGACCTGCCAGGTGTGCTGCCGGGTGAGTTTGCTCCATCCACTCCGTATGTTTTTTTTGGGGGGTTCCCGGTTCCCGTGAAGGCATTGACACGACAGGGATTGAGTGTGAAGCCAAGGGGATCTTGGGGCTAAGACACACTTCGACAGGTCTCTGACTGGCAAAAGCGTCCATTGACTCCAGAGCAGCTGGACTATGCCGCGCAGGATGCGCATGTGTGCGTGCGCCTCTTTGATTCGCCGCCCGGTGTGCACGCAGTAGCAGTCGTCGTGGCAATGTCTCGCAGGAACGTAGCCAGGGACGCCCTCATCACACCTCATATTCAGTGATTTTGGAACTTTGAAACTTTACCGCCTCAGCCGCATTTATATATATATATACCTATCAGAAAGAATCAGAAAGGGACAATACTGCTGGTGTTGGATGGGGCATCCTTCCAAACTGGGTGCATTGTTCTGCTCCCCGGAACTTGTCGACACATCGACCGTCGACCATTGAGGCTTTGCTATAACCATGCGACGGTCGCCACGCAAGTCCTGCAGCCGGTGCTGAGAGGCATGGTGAGGACATGGCCGCGAGAAAAAGAGCCGGCCATCGTGCGGACGGCGGACAGAAGGGCCACCGAGTGGGACTCGGTGCAGCAGGGGTGGTGAGCTTTGGTGCAGGTGGTGTTTTCGTTGCATCACCCATGGTGGTCCATCCCTTGCAAAGGTTACAAGTTACAATCATGTTATAGACTAGTCTAAGATCTTGTAAGTAGTATAAATAAATATATATATATATATGCATATATGTAGCCCTATGGATCCACATACCTTCTCAGAAGGTAATTGGACCCTCCAAGCCTACATAAATAGTCTCCAATCACCTCAAAAGGTATGTGGATCCATAGGGTAGGTATATACATATTAGATAATGTTTTTGTGTTTGTTTGCCGCAGGAGAGCCGTGCAGGAGGTGCGTTTGACCTCATGCTGGCGATATTTAGACAGGTAGACATGTGTTCAATTTGACGGATGCCGCGGTTAGAAGCAAGTCTGTGAGGAGGAGAACCTCACGGCAGCCGGGAACCTTTGGCTCCAGCCGGAGCCCATCCGAAATAGAAAATGATGTCTAGAGATCCACTTCTGCATTGAGAATCTTTATACTACAGTATACCGTTACCTACCTAAAGGTTTCTTTGTTTCTTTGCTGATCGGATTTTCTAAATAGGTGACAAGCGAATTGGATGAAACCAACATGACAGATGCAAAATTTTGGTAGGTAACCAAGGAGATACACCAGAAGACAACCAACACCAAAAAGTGTTCCCTTCACATCGACTACTTGGTCAACAATAGCACCGTTGCACCAGCACTGATCGGTTCGGGCGGCATTTTGTGAGAGAAATTGTTATATATATATATATATATAGAAATTGCCACCTGCCTGGAGTGGTAAGATCACTTTTTCTTGGGCTTTGTTCGCTCGCATCCAACTGTTTGCACGTTTTCTGTACAGGGGGTTTTCTCTACTATGCATATTGTGCCCATTGTGACACATATGCCATTGTCGCGTCTCACCCGGGCCGCACAATGAGAGAGACGTATATCAACGTAGTATGAACATGTAAGTGGGTTTGTAACGACACCCAAACCAATGGACCAATGCACTTGAGTCCGTTCATTCACAAACATCTGAATCTATGGTTCTTTTTTTTGGGGCCTTCTTTTTTAAGACACACCCATCCTGCTTTTCGTGGCTCTTCCGTTTCTCAAGTTCTGGGTGCCCATCCACCGAGCTCCGGAGCTCGCCTCGCCGAGGGCCCAGCTCCAACTCGTGCCCAAGGAGGGGAAAGGTGCAGGTCGACCGACTGCGCAGCGACGTGACTTTGCTTTCCAAGAAGCGGGGTGATTTTGTCGATATTTCTTCTGACCGATTAATCCGATGATGCCCTATCCTTACCAACCTCGCTTGTCATACATATACATATATATATATGGAGCTGGCACTAGGGGCTAGGCATATGCTAATGCATGTATGTAGTTGGCGCATTTGGCACATCATGATAACTTGAATTTGGGTCCTTAGCTCAGCGTGTCAAGGCTGTCGCAATGGGGCATGCTTGAAGTGTCATGACAGCACGTGACTTTCCTTGGGGTTGTTTTTTGAGGGTCGCAGAGTCCCTTTCCCTCCTCCTTAATATCAGTCCTCCCTTCAGTCCGTTGATCCTGAAGTTTGACAGAGGCCCTTGCTGACCCTCATCCACTTCTACTTGCAGTTGGGGCAGATCCCCAGATAGCCAACATGCATTCCCGCATTCTCCCGTGCACAGATTCAGGTGTTAATACTATTTCAGTGTCCGGGTGGCTCCGCTGTTGCCAGGGCGAAATGGCAAGGGCAAGAGTAAGGCATGTGAAGGAAGAGACTGGAGAACATTTGGTCGTTGAGAAGGGTGAGCCTATATTGTGGGGTTGTGATGGTTTCGCCTCAGTGGTTTAGGATGGTCACTTTGTTTGGTTTAGCTCACCAATGAACTTCTTCGTTATTCAAAATCCATAAGCACCTGAAACCCTAGCTCAAAGATATAGCTCAAAGCGGGGATTTTGCGTTGTTTGCTGTCCATCGCCTTGCAGGTGACCCAACGTCCCCAGCAACAATGGCCGTTTAGCATAACTACCCTGGACTCTTGCCACCCTGCTTCTATTTACTTATATAATGGCCGCAGTCGGAGCATTTCAACCTACGGCGGACAACGCTCCAAGTGCAGCTCTGATTTCTGTTTGACAATGGCATTTGATCAGAGAGTGCCAGAAAGAGGGCATTGCCCACGCTTCCTTTTGAGAAAAGATCATAGTGGAACACTGCCACGCAACGTGATGCGGGCTGCATCATATTCGTTGTTGTAGTTTTGCAGGCGTAACACGACCACCACGCAGCAGGGGACTCCACACATGAGGGGCTTGCAGAAGTCCTGTGCACATCCGTGTGCACAACACATGCAGTATGGCACGCAAGTACGTACTCTTGGGCAAATGACCACCCTACCTCAGGCAGAAGATTTCTGACCCGCTCACAACTGAAGAAACACAGACCCTCCAAGTAGAGACTGCGTTGAATTGGTGTCAGGTACCTTCCGCATACAGATGGGCGGGTGCACCATATGTGTTAATCAGGGGCCTCCAAAGTTGACTTCGCCAGGGACGCCAGTGGCGACCAAGCGCAGAGGCCTTTTTAGCCCAGGGGTTGATGCAGGAGAGGAGCATTCAAAAACTCACCTTAAAAGCTGAGCTCATGCATGTTCATGCCCTCCCCCAAACGAGTAGACATACTCTCACTTCAACAAATGCTTTGGGGAGAGCATCCGGACCTCCTTTAGTGCTTACTTGCCTAGACTTCAGGTGTTGAACAGTTTGTTGAGCTGCGGCCATGCACTACAACCATCAGATTCCTATCATGAGTCATGAGATGAATTCTGAATGGCCCTTGCCCAGGCAGATATGTCTCCTTTTTCACAGGCTTGCTATTCAACGCAGAGAGTGCGTTTTGAACCACGGGTGCCCCGAAGCAACCAACCATTCCTACAAGATGGCCCCAGTCTGGCGTTGCTGATGCCGATGGACAAGAGGGGCTCCTTCTCATTCGCCTGGCTGGCCGGCTCTCCGGACTCGGCGAGGTGGCTCAGCGTCACGTGGGCCACTGGCGATTCCTGGCCAAAGCGGAGGGCGACTTCAGGTGCGACTCCGGGCGACTTCGGCGTGCCATCGCATGCCAGGCGTGCATCGCTATTAGTAACTAAGTGCATTGCTAGTAGCAGCAAGAATGCAAGAAGCTATACTAGTAACATCTAGTAACAAGGGCATCGCCATTACTGCACCTTTGCAGTTTCCATGTGACACTGGAGGTTGGCACCGATGTGAGGATGGCACCGAACCCCTCCGTCCGAGCTTTGCGACGGCAACCATCGGAGTTTTCAGTCGACCACTGACGTTGAAATACGTTGAAGTGCCTGGGCGCGGCGAGGCCCATGTCCATACTTCAGGCAGACAACTAGTTGATGCTTGTTATATAATGTTATATATCCACACATATATATATATATGTGTTATATATATATTTATATACATATCTGTATATGAGACAATCAATAATAACACCCTTGTTTCATCAATAATAATGCAAGGCTTCGCGGTGTGAAAAAGGCTTCGGCCCACACGGCCCCAGGTCCCAGGCTTTGGCCTCCGAGCTTCGTCGATGGGGGGACCCGGATCCACGCATTTGGATTTCTGGCGACCACACGTGCCACAGAGTGTCCTTGCTGTCGCAGGATTGTGCTCTCAGACCGTGGTGCGGGGGCTTGGTGCAGTATCGGTGGAATCTGACAATCTGGAATCTGGAAGGCCAAAGCGATCTTGCTTGAACCTTCCTGGTCAGAACCTTTTAACATTTGTTGGGAGACTGGTTTGCCCACTCACGAACAGATGGGCAAAGGTCCAGCTTCATTTTCCAAGGAAACGAAGGGAGTCAGTGAAAGAAGCACTCCAAAAATCCTGTCCATCACCGCCTCCGCGAAGACTCGAGATCACGGGACTGTAAAAACCGCCGAAGAAACGAGACTCGATCGTCGCATATCGCCGTTGAGAATCTGGGGCGCTCGTATCTAGCATCCGGTCGCAGCGGGGAGAAAGAAGCTTCCACCGGCCACGAGGGGCGAAACATGGCAAGGCGTTTGGATGCCAATCGCTTCTTCGCACTTGACGCGCGCCCGGCGGAAGGCACCCTTCTATTCCAGCTGGGCCCGGCGGAAGGCACTCTCCTACCACAGGAGCGACCGGTGGAGACGACATGTCAAATGATCAAAATGGTCACCTGCAGCAAAACATGTTCGAGGGCTTTCTGACCAAGAACTGTTCAAGGCAAGTCATGTCCAGGTGCTTTGGATCAATTTTTCGTGCTATATACATGATAATGCAATGGACGTGTTGAGTGACGTGCTGATGTTCGGTCCAATGAAACAATGCAGGAAGCGGGTGAAAGGGCGCCCCTGTACGCAGACGACCTGCCGGTCTTCCGGCTGAAATCTGTTCCACTTCCATGTTCTTTTTTTGGTGGGGGGTGTCCATACCTGACCAAATGCTATCGTTGTGGACTACTTGGACTTTGAACGAGTCGATGCAGTGTGATTAGTCAATGCTGGCAGTAGTTACGTTATATTATCGATCCAAGGCGTGTTCCTGGAGGTTCAGCAAGTCTGGTTATGAGCAAGGTGATGGCTGCTTCAAGTGGCTCGCATTACCTTTATCAAGAAAATGCGACATCAAACGCCCATCAAGTCACATCCCTCCAAAGGTCCAAAGAGCAGTTGTAGCAGTACCAGACGACTCTGCAGGAAAAGCGCTGGCTCCAATGTGAACTACGGGGTCCCGATGGTGAGGCGACTGGAGTTTCCCGCAAGTGGGCCAGCAATATACTGTGGTGTTATGTGACCAAGTGCTCTAGGGCTGGACTTCGATATGGTTTCATGATGCTTCATGACACCTGAAAACAGTGGACTCTTGTGAAGATTCGCACAGGTGACGAGGTGGGAAGTTAAGTTCAGCCTCGGCTCAAACACTTTTTCTGAGGGAGGATCACTTTAGAGCAATCACGTCCAGGCTGAACATGGAAAGTTTCCAGCACCTTGAGGAAGGTCCTCATGCAATAGAAGCGACCGGAAGATCCACACACGCACACAGTGTTACCAGTCCGACCAGTCCACTCTGCAGGCAGCTAGGGAAGAATTACGCGCCAGGGCACATCGCGACACGGCAGGCGGCGGGTGCTGCCCGTGTGCGCTTCAGTGAGAAGTCTGAGAGCATGATGCCCGCTGCGGCTGCACTCGCGTCGTGGTTTTGGGGCACGCGCGGCACTTGCGGAGAGTCATGGTTCGGAGGACCGAGGAGAAGATGGAAACACAGGCCAAACCCTGTGGTTGAGGTGTTTCCAGTTGTAAAATAGCCAGACTGTTCGCGCATAATAGAATGGGTAAGTTTAAGTCTATCAAATGATAGAATGTCCGAGACGTGACGTTTTAGGATTAATCGAGATTTCGATTGTGAACTTCATGTGCAGCTCTTGAAGACATGAGTCGAGTCAAGAATGGTTACCTCCTTCGAGACGCATGTTTCAAGATCCTCCCTTCTTCTATACAGATCCAACTGCTTATCTCAGAGGGTAGCTTGCACACCCCAAACCAACGTCCTCCACATCCCCCCCCATCGAAGCCCCTCAGAGGCGAGACGTCCATCCACCTCGACGTCGGATCTTGACCGATCCTCGGTTTCGCTCCAGGTACGCCTTCAGCAGCGAGGATGTCTTTGGCGACGCCACGGCCGCCTATCGGGTCCTGACACCACGGGAGGCGACGCGTTGAAACGCGAACGACGCGCGGAACCGTGGAAACCGCGGCTCTTTCGGCACGAGGACGGGCGATCCACATGGGTGTTTTTTTTTTTGCGCAGGGAGGTGGTGAATGGCCCTTCTGGGCCCTTCTCTCTGAATTCATTGGTGAATTCCCAAGACTAAGATGTGTAGGATCGAGGATCTGTTATTATCAATTTGCTTAATGTTTAATTGTCGTGTGCACATGTATCTGGAGCTGGACCATTGCTTGTTTGAGTGAAGTGGTTGGAACGAGCCACATTCCTGGGTCAATACCATTATACTTGGTGATTGGACTTCAGCAACTTGGTCTTTCCAGGGACCATTTTCATTTTCCACGTCCATGATTGCCGATGTACAGGAGGATAAGACCCATGTTTGGCAAAGCTCGCGCTTGTCTGAAAACCCTTCATGACCTGACCCCAGGAACTGCCGACTCAACGGCAGATTGAGTGTTTGCGCTGGGTTGTTACGGAGAGAGGCCCTTCAGTAGAGCATATCATCCAGTGGATCACTTGATCATTGACAACGGTGTGTTTCTCCCTGTCCATGTCTACCCCTTACTCGTAGACGGCGGCAATTCAACTCATGCATGTGGTATTGTGACAACCTGCGATGGGCTGACCTACGAAGAACAGCATCTTCATCACGTATTTGTCGTTGAAGGGACCATTGCGCGAAGTGCAGTAAGGTTTCGGTTCGGTTGGAATCGGTTTGAATGTTTAATGGAAACTTCGAATCGGTTCGGTTGGGTTGAAGAAGCTTTTTTTTGTGCATTTTCGGTCCGGTTCGCGGTTCGCTTCGGTTCTGTAAGGCATAAGTTAACCTATGAGACAAGACAAGACATAGATAGAACAAACAAGACCAGAGAAGACAAAACAAGACATGATATGACAGGACATATCATAGCAAACCAAAGCAAAAGAGAATACCTTCAATCAAATGCCCTAGGGTGAGTGAGCCATATTGAAAAATGGCGTTCCGTTCCACTCCTTTTCGTGGCTTTGCTGTCCAATATGCTTTTTAGACCGCCGGGAAAAAGCATATTCAGAAACAGCTGTCTTTTCCTCAGCTTCCCACGGCTCAGAGGTGGTCTTGACTTTCTTGTTGTCGACGCGATGTCCCTCATGGTGCCTTCGTACCGGTTGCCAGAGCAGCTGCGCTTGGCTCGTGTGCAGCTTTGCGTGGGGCTGTTCCTGTTCAGCCCTGCAGCAGTGCAACCGCACGAGGCAGCAGAGCGGGGCCGCGGCAGACCTCGTAAGGGCACAGCTGTGGTTGTGCAGGGCACAGGCAAAAGTGGCCAGTGTCGTCAGGCGGGGGTCGAATGTGCTTTTTTTGTCTGATGCAACTGCATGTATGGCTGCCTAAAGGCGATTATGATGGGATGCCTTTTGTTCTGAGCGCTTGGTTCCGTAAATGCTTTTTTGCCAATCTGAAAAGATGCATTTTGGAGTTGCCTGGCGCACGGCGTAGGCGGACCAGCAGATTAAAGTACCCAGAACTTCGGGAAAGATTGAAGAAAGCAGCAGAGGATCCTATGATCCACAAGCTTGAGACCTTGTTGCGCCCGGAGCCAAAGAAGACAAGAGGAAGAGGTCGTGGAAGGGGAGCAGGGCGGCAAGAGAAACCTAAATCTACCAGTGAAGCTATTTTGCGAGACGCTGCCTGCGCAGCCGCATCAGGTCCTGCAGTGAGGCTGCAGCCTGGGCCTCGCGCACTCAAAGAGCGCACTAGTGCTGAAGACCGGCTGTTTGGGCCACACCCTGACCGGGGTCGTGCCCTTGAGGTGGCTGTGCTCGATGACCTGAAGGCAGTCCCTGCAGCAGCGCTTTCAGCATTTTTCTTCCCGCGTCGTCCTTCATCGAATTTCGGGGCCAAATGCGTTTTCCACTGTCCCCAAAAAGCATTTTCAAACGAGAGCCGCTGATGACACCACCTTCCCAAAATGCTTTTTGAAACGAAAAGAAAGAGCATATTTATAGTTGACTCACTGACAGCAAGGTTCGCAAGCAAGTGGAAGCTGAGATGACACACTATGAGCGCCTGAATTTCACAGGAGAAGGCCCTTTGTCCTGGTGGCGCGGGCATCAGGGACAGATGCCAGAGCTCGCCCAGTTTGCGCAAGCAGCTCTTGGGGTGCCTGGCTCCAGCGCAGCTTTGGAACGGCTTTTCTCCAAAGCCGGCTTGTTCATCACCAGGCGCCGTCCGCGCCTGAAGCCAGGCCGCGCCAGTGACATGTTGTTTGGGCACGCCAATGTGCAAATGCTTCTGTGACCCCGGACAGTCCTCGAAAAAACGTTGCTGATCTCGGAGCAGGGTGGAATTCCGGTTCGTATTTTGTTCCGGTTCGGTTGTGTTTGGAAAATTGACGGTTTTCATGATTCGGTTGATGAAAATTTTCGGTTCTTGACATTCGCGAGGTTTCGGTTCCGAACGGACAGTTCCGAATCGATTCGGGACCCTTCCTGGAAGTGAGCTGGGATACACTGGAATAGACGCCCCAGCTTCGTGGCTACTGATCGACCAGTATCTGTATTCAGAGCAAGACTCCGCGAGTTTTGCTCAAGCATCCACAGAAGAGCCCACCGCAGCCACTGAAAAATGGCGCTCACGGTGGTGGTGACCAATGCAGCCACCGGCGACCTAGTGTGCACGACCCAAGCTGCCAGGGATTGGACAGTGGCCGAGCTGGGCGATGCAATCGCAGGAGAGAGAAAGAGAGAGCGAGAGAGAGAGAGAGAGAGCGAGCGAGGGAGGGAAAGAGGGAGGGTGAGTGAGAGAGAGAGAGAGGGAGAGAGAGAGAGGGAGAGTGTGTTTGAGAGAGATAGAGACGGTACAGGGACAGCTCACATGTTCGTGCATGTACTTACTGGGGGTTCTTATGCGCACCAGCTTGCCGAGCCCTGGCAGGCAGATCCGAGACCCATGCACCAAGCCTGATCCTTCGGTTCGGCAGGCACCGTGGGCGTTCCAAGCTCTCTCCAAACCTGGCTTCATGGCCAGCAGCGCCTGGAACCCCATGCGCCGATCCCCTTGGCTTCAGACGGCGAGGGCGACCCGGAGCGAGTGGAACTGCAGCTGTTGAAGCGACGCTGGGCCATCACGGTGACCACTGAAGTGCAGAGCCTGGATTGAAAGAAGAGGGTCCAAACGGTCAAATAAAGGGAAGGATGGGAGGAAGATCCATGAAGCAAGATGTTTTACACATTCCGATATGTTTGCATACTCATTGCTAAATCTTGCACCTTCTGCAGCAATTACTCACACATACCTGCACTGGTACCTGCACCTTGCACTCATTAGGGGCGGAAGATGGAGTCGGCTGGAGGTGCTTCGTTGCTGGCCGACCGACCCAAGGAGTTTGGAGATTTCCACCCATCCGCTCTGTCGCCTTCTGGACTTCACCGTGCAGGTGGCTGAGGCGCTGCAGTTGCCCGACGCGGTCAGGCCAGTGTTGAGCTTTCAAGGACAAAGACTTCCATGTGGCTTGGCATGGATGAAATTTGAGGAGTGACAGATGATCACCCCGAGAAATCTAGCATCTCTTCGGCATTTTTCGTTGTGCTTCGGAGCCCAAACTCGTTGTGCTTCAGGTGACGATACATCACTGAGGGACATGGATTTGGAAGCCGGATCGTGCGTACGAGTCACGAGCACTGAGAAGTTACCGCTGGTTGCCCTAGGGACTGGCCCGGAAACCTCGCAGCGCTCAGACTTCTTGGAGTCCAGTGCCTCCGTGGGGTCTCTACTTGGGCAGTTGGGAAAGCGTTCAGTTTGTCATTCTCTATTTGGGAACCCCCCCACGGAGTCTTTTCAGTTTGTCAAGCTTGGAGCCCCTAGCAAAATCTGCCAAACCAAACAGGTGTTCAGGACCACCTTGTTGAATTGTTTCTTAGTCTCTTTATGTCTTTTTGGCCTTCTTGGAGATGATTCAGGTTGCTGGATGAGTGCCAGGACGGGCAGCTGCTTTTGTATCCCGGGGACTTCTCAATGATAGGCAGTGCTCAGACAATTTTCCCAGGAAAAGCCAGGAAAAGCTCTTCTGTGATGGTGCTGCCAGAAGTTTTGAACAGCCAAGACACTGGATTTTCCAAGCATGAATGACTTTATTTTCCGTAAGCCAGTAGCATTGAAACATGAAAATGTACGTCATGAATGATTATGTCAGTTACATATAGTCTATGTTCATATTCATATACTGATACTGATATACTCAAAGTCGGGGGGACACGACGTGCCCTTTCGTTCATTCCTTTGACGGACTGCTTTTACAGTCTGGGGGAGTCTCAACGACCACGCATGACACTTCAAAACACATTGCGGTTGAAGTTATGTGACGGTTTGAAGATGTTCAACATTTCTTTCTTTGAGTAGAGCTGCGCAAGAAATACACCACAGACCCCGATGGCAAAGGATCTGATCGAATCCCGTTGCTTTTTTATGTTTTGAGTGTTGAACGAGGGGTTTCTATAGTTTCTCCTTTGATTCCCTCCACAAAGCATTGGCCCCCAACAGCTGCTCCCACAAGCTGCCGAACTAAGGAATGTCGGGACATCATGGCAAGGTGTCGCTCCCTGGCCTTCGTTCCGGCCGATGTGCTTTGCTTCAAGGGAACCCGGCGGTACCGACGGCAGGTGGTGCGTGATCCAAACTTGTCCAAGTTGCTTTGGGAACGTGCAGGAGTCCACTTGCGCTTTCGATCGCTTCTATTTTGTCCTTTCCAGTCCTTCTGTTCATTTGTTGCTTTAGCTGTCCTGGTTTCATGATCTGTCCCTTGGTTTGCACCACAACCTTTTTCGTTTGGAGGGCGAAGGTCGGATTCGGTTTAGGTTTAGCTACACCAACCGCAGGGCCCTTTATCTCATCAGCTTTGTCCAATTGCAGGCGGGCCTGAGAAGAAATAAACAAACAAAACAAAAACATGTGCTGTTCATCGAGGAAGCTGCGGCTGCACTTGTAAGGAATTTGTGCTAATCGAATCTGAAGCTTTCTTGGCAGGCCTTTGGGCTTCGGTTGTGCACAAGGAGATTGGGAATTGGCTGGATTCAACTGCTGTTTCCGGGTGACCTCATACGGCTCAGGTGGTTTCCTGAAGCTCGGGAGCTGAGCGTACTTTTTCGATGTGGTTAATAAAAACGTATTGCCAACATAAGACAGCATATGTCTGCGGGTGTATAAACACAATATATTTGTTGCAAAGCAAAATCAGGACATAATTAATGCACACGTTTCTTGGGCAGAAATGTTTGCCCATTTGGGGTAAATTTAGGTTAGGCTTGTCCCCTCTAGGCGTTCATGTCCTTTTGGTGGCAATGCTCACATAGATGAGTATCCACCCACCACTGGTTCCAGGAACTTCCATAGTGATGAAGTACATTTGTTTATCAGTAATTCACTTGATGTTTCACTTTTGCATGTGTTTAGTGTTTTTATGCGTCATTGTCGTTGCTTATATATATATATATATACACAGTATTTTCTTTGCGTAGATGTTCTTCCTGTCACTTGGGGCGCTCTTACCCCCCCCTCACTACAATCAGCAGTTGGGTGGACAAAGGAATGGTAGCTTTATTGGGTGGGAGTGAGTGACATGAGTTTCAATTACTTTGGACTCTGGACTGACTAGCGTCAGGTGGCAAGCGTGTTTTTTCTCAAACACCTTTTTCACTCAAAAGCCTCCTGCATTCAAAGCCTCCTGCATGTGATTGTGCCGCAGCTTTGGTGTTCTTTGGGAAAATGAGCAGGAATTTCTGCGGTGAGGTTCTAGGATATATACTGTATATATATATATATATATGGGGATTGGGATATAATATGATATAATGATTTTTGCATATATTTGCATTTAAAACCTGATATACGTGTATACACTTACACACATTCAATATCAATATTTCAGAGTTTGCTCTTCATTTTGGCCCGTGTTGTTTTCCGAGTGTGTTCACCTCAAGTTTCACCTCAGACTATCAAAGCCGAGGAAAGCACACCGAGACGCACCCTACACACCCAATGCACATCAGCGCTCCCTTTGTACATTGCTGATCCCTTTGTGCAGCATCGGCAAGACACGCTTCTACGATCCCAAAGAAGACATCGACACACGGGGAATGAGCCTCCAAGAGGAGCTGGACGCACGAGGAGTGTGGGAATGGACTCCCGTGCCTGCACTTGGGTCTGACATAATGAGACGCCCAAAAGAAAGGTTACATGTCAAACATCAATCAAAGCACCAGACATTCCACTACTAGCAGCAAGGACGCTACTAGTAGCTCCTGGCTCTACTAGTAGCAAGAAGCTACTAGGAGGAAAGGGCCGAACGTAGCTCATTCCAGGAGGTCTTCTTTCCGGCTTCTCCTTTGAAGACGTTGACCTTTGCAGCGGACATGCCTTGATCTTTGGCCACGAGGTGCTCCACGAGGGCCTGTCGCCCGAATCCAGTGACACGAAGGTCATGCTCCGTCGCCTCGTGGTGATTGCGGGTGCCTTTTTCTGTTTTTTCTCTCCGGCTTTTCGATTGCGGTGATGACTCCTCGGTTGGCTTCCGGTCGCGGAACAAACGAATGACACCATTCTCCTTCCACTCCTTCAGACTTCCGAATTTTGGGCGATGTTCGGACCTCTTTGATGCATTTGCTTTTCTCTCAGGTACCGACGTCATGGTCTCCCGAAAGCCTCCGCCGGAGGGTCTCCAGTGGACCCCGGTGGAGCGCAGCGACCAGGCCGCGGCGCTGCGCCACTTCCGCGCGGCGCTCCGCGCGGAGCTCGAGAAGCGAGACAGTACGGAGCTCTACGAGCGCGCGCCACGCGGCAAAAGGATCAGAGTTTTATGGATGGTGCAGAGGTTACACCTTGTAGAATCAAGACAGGGGAGAGAGTTTGGACGCCTCCCAAGTTCTGCATCAGATGTATAATTCACTGCACTTGTTCCCCAAAACGGATACTATTGTTGTTTGACGAATCAGTGCCGACGTTGTGCTTCTTTCTCCCGTCTACCGTCGTTCCGAGGCAATCCTATCGCTTCCACCACCCGGACACCGAGCCGCTCGCGAGCGGCTCAGTGGGAGTCCAATCCGGCGAGCAGTCGCGGGGTATAGGTGAGGCCAACGGGGAGAGAGGTGCTTTTGTGGAAGCTCTGGCCAACCAAATGCTGGAAGCATGCGGTGCTGACTTTATCATGCCAGAGACGCTTGGATCAAAGTGTTTAGCGGGTCCTAGCTAAATCGGTATAGCATGCCAAAGATGTTTCTCTAAAGGGGCACGGGAAAGTTGAGTTCTTCCTTCTTCCTTTTGCTTTTGGAGCATTGAGCTGCAGGATAGCATATCTCCAGGGTCCAGTGGCTGCTTTTCGACTGAAGCCATCTGACTCCTTGGGCACAAGCTCCGGAAGTCCTGCTGCAAGCCCCACTGGAACCGTTGGACACCTAAGAGTGGCAGCCCTCTATGCATTGCACCTCCTGGGGCACCATGCCTATGTCCCTTGGCTCACAAGATGAACTCAATATTACTGTTTTTGAAACTTTGGCGACTGACCTCTCTTTGTGGCAAGCTTAGTCAATTACATGTTTTCCTTGGGCCCTTGGGCTGGCGCTTTGACAGAGAATCTTTTTCCCCACCTCTCAAAGTGGCAAGCAGGAACCCTCTGAAAGACAAGCGCTTTACACGGCGAACTTCGATCCCAAGACGCAAACGGTGACGGCCGTCCCGCTTCGAAAGCTTCTGGAAGATCCTTGTCCCACAATTCGTTTGAACAATGCCATGTTCAATCACTTTCATTGTGAGGAATGAAAAGCTTAATCAATAGTCAATAGTTAATAATAACAATAATAATAATGATATATATATATATTGAAGTCAGTTCAATTTTCAACCCTGGTTGGCTATTTTATGATCGCGCACTGCCTGCAACAGCAGCAAAGGATGTGTTTCACTCCAGATCCTGCCACGGAGCAGTCTATAACGTTCTTGCTGCAAACAGTACAAGCTCAGAAGACTTCGAGAAGGCTGTGGACAGGACCCATATGGCACTCAATCATGCAGCACCATCAGTGGGCATTGATGTGTTAGCCAGTCTCAAGAGTGAGGCGTATCTTGGACATGCATTTTCTGTTTAACTTGGGTAGCATGGATGGGTAGGCATTATATCTTCCATTGCGTTTGAGCCCGCAAGAAGAGACGGATTTCTTACTTGTTGAGCCCAAGTATCCATCCCCCATCCATTCCCACACGCCAGGGACAGCAAGGCGCGTCATGATGGATTCTGGCCACACCTCCCAGGAAGATTCTGGGAAACCATGGGAGGACCTATTCCTAGAATTTTTGGGGCCTAGTGACTTTAGTGATCATCTTCGTTGCACCAAAAGGGGAAGGTTCGAACTATTCCACATCCCAAATATGACCCCCCCAAAGGTGCAGACACCAAAGATGCGTCCTTGGAATCAGGTCGGGCGCCAGAATTTCCCAGGTACGCGAAGTCCTTCCGCGGCGATTTGAGAGAAAAAGCGAGGCCAGCTTACACCTTGCCAGACTTTACCAAGCAGGCAGGGCAGGGCACCGTCTCAAAGGGCTCTCTTTGTTTTTCATCAATTGAATTCAATTGTATAATGTATAGACTTGAAACGGTGGATGAATAAGACCCCTTACCCAATCAACCGTCTACACCTCTCGTATGGGGGGTTTATCAATCAACCGTCTACATGAAGGCGTTCGTGCAGTGCACGACAGGACTAACCGGACGTCATGCTGTCGAAAGTGGCCCATCACAGGTCCAAGCCTCGTACATTGCGAGAGCAGACTCGCCTCAGAAGCTAGCTCGAACAGAGAGCCAGCCAATGGCTTATTTGCAGCAATTGCTGGGGGAGAAATCGCATTTGCCTGGCCTGGACATTGTGACTTGGGCCCTTGAATGCCCTTGATATGTGTTGTGCTTCCAGTCGGGGGAAGTTTGTATTCAGGAGCATAGGGTGAATTCAATATAATTCAACTTCTTGTCAGACTCAGCCGACCGAGGTCGCAGTTGCCAGTGGCGATGATTTTCATTTGTGTGAGGATTGGCGGGTTTCTTGCTACTGTGGCGGCTGCGACAAAGAGGAGCCCGAGCCTCAAGTGGAGGTGGTATCTCGTCCAATGAACCATTTGGTGTTCGACTTCAATTCGCACCAAATCCAAGTGCAAGAATGGAAGGAAGCACAGGTCTGGGTGGGCAAAAAAACTTGGGCATACCAGCTCCAATCCAGACACGGAAATGCAAGTGCAAACCAATTCTGACAATGTTTTGCATGTGAGATCCATGGCAGGAAACGCACGGCTTCTTTGATCCTTGCCTTCTTTGGACAGAACTTGCTTGGTGCCTTCAATCCGTTCACCCGAGCAACCCATTGGCAGCACCATGGTCCATCACCTTTCACGTGACGGACGGGACGATGACACTCACCAGACAGGGTAGCATGGTGGCTGTCTTCCTTGAGAAGTCCTTGCTCAAGAGTGTTTCACTCTCAGAGATGAGATTTGATGACCAAGGCGGGGTTGGCAGGGTTGACCGAACTCCATTAAAAGAGTCTTATAGAGTGATTTTGTTCCCCAACAAGGACGCTACTAGTAGCTCCCGGCATTACTATTCAGAGCAAGAATATAGTAACAAAGGGCATTGCTACTAGTAGGAGCAAGGACGCCTGTGGAAAACGACAAGGACAAAGACAAACATAGGCCATAGCCGCTGATCCGAGACATTCGTGCCCGTGCGGTCCCGAGGCTTTTTGCAATGGCCACTCATGCCAGATGCACTGGGGAGCCGAGTGAAAGTTCCCCCGGAATCTCAAGACGCTTTGCGGCGCTTCTTGAACTCTTCATACGATTGCAGCAAGCTGGTTTCCAGGCTTCGTGAGCCCCGTTCGTGTGAAACCAGAACAAGTTGCAGGTTATATACCGGTAAGGACCTCCGTTAGATACTGGTAGCTAGGACCTATAGGGCCACCATCCTCTGTGCAGCGAAAAGGGGGAACGCATGATGCGATTTAACCTCTGAGACTCCGAGATGCTCATCAGGGGGATGCTCAGCAGGGCAGTGCAACATATGCAACATAAAGCGCATGTTTCTTTGGGAGGGGGGAGCATTGGGCGAGTTGTGGATGTTTTTGGTGAGCTTTGGATATTGAAGAGGCATGAGGAATATTCCAGATCCTTTTGGAAGGTGGTGGTGAGGCTTCGGGAAAGTTTCGGAATGATTTTTGAGTCCCGCCAATTTCGGCAGAAGAGTTTCCATCCCTGATGGCTGCCTGGCACCCCTGTCCTCGAGAAGTAAAGACCGGTTGAGATCATCTCAGATCACAGACGGCCATGTAGCCCTGCCTACCTCCAGCGGATAAGCTTGGCACCTTTTCAGGGAATGGGAGGGGGTTCAGTTCCCCCCCCCCCACAGACAAGCAGAAACGGCAGAAACTGAGGGAGTCAGACAGGGACCCACACGGAGCATGGCAGGTTTGCTTGGGAGACGCATCTACATAGGGATCCCATGCAACAGTGAAATGGAGCGGATCAAATCCAGAGGGGTTTGGGAACGACCGATTTGGCCATTTTTGCCGCTCTTTGCTGCGGCCTGAGTGGCTTTGCCGTCGCACAATCACTGGAAAAGCACCAGAGAAAGAAATGAAAGAACAAGCTTCGAACCATAATCAAGCACAACCACCCTGGGCCAGGTATTTGATTTCTTTGGCGCCACTTTCTTCCACTTCAAGCTCTTTTCATCATGCTGGGCCAGTGTGCGGCTGCAGCGAGCATGTCCATCTTGAAGTTGAACATGCGGAGATCGCCGCATCTGATCACACTGACACGATGCTCATGGCTGTGACCCAAAGTGCTGGTCATGTGTGGAACCTGGGCATGTGCCTGGCAAGGTTTCGTTTGAGAGAATGTGAACTCCCACTCACTAACATGGAAGTGGAAAACAACCTGTTGTAATAGGAAAGTAGTCATTCCAATGGCAATTTGTCCACTTCCATGTTAGTGACTCGGAGTGAATGTCCGCATGAATCATGACTTGAAAGTTTCTGGAACCCGGGAGGACGTCGACCAAATATCAATCAGTGGATGGAAGGTCTCGCTACTCTAATGCACACCGGAATCAGCGTAATCAGCATATATTTAGCCTTTTCTGTCATAGCTTTGGAGGCTGTGGACCATTTATCACGGGATATCTGCGCTTTGAAGGCCGGTTCTTGTGTCGTCCATCCCATGGGTTGTGCACTTTAAGTGGCAATCTTTCTAGAGGTGATGCCTGATGATAGCAAAGGCAACAGGAGATGGTTGTGTCGTTTCATATGCTTTCTGTGCAGGTGATGCTGAAGACCGGCATGTACAGGGGCCAAGCAGCAAGACCTTTTTGCTGCACGTTTCAATGGACTTGTGCGTCGCCAGCGCAGCAAAAAGAAAGGTCCATGTCACATCTTATATATATATATTGTATAACATTTGTCATGTACTGGTAGCATGTAGTGGTAGCATTGGTCATGCATACAAAAATATTATATAACAATATCTATATATATATAACATGTATATTTGGTCATGGATCGTGGCTTGCCGTTGAGCAAGGGGTGTTGTGACCCAAGGCGGAGCAGGTCTCTTGCGAGGAGGCCATCAGCCTCTCTAACAAGGCAGCCAGGCACGGCGGGGCGACCAGGGCGAGCGGAGCAGAGCGGAGCAGTTACCCTTCCTTTGCCGCAAGGATGGTGCTCGTAGGTTGCCTGCATGCATACACGGCATAATTACTGTATTGAGATATATTGAAATATATGGAGCAGGGTAGGCATATATAGTGTTCTTCCTCACTTCTTGCATTACAAAAACGCTTTGAAACAGACCTCAGATGAATCCTTTTTCAGCCGCCCTCGCGTCTGTGAGGCTCTTGGAGAGGGGCCTGGCCAGCTGGGAGCCGCAGGGGTAGAGTCACCGGTCGAGTCACCTTTATTTGTCCAGCCATGTGGCCTGTATGAAGGCTCATATGGCTTCGTGGACGTTCATAGACTTTCACCCGGGCCATGGGTCTGAAGGCTATCCATGTGTCTATCCAACAATCGGATGGCATGGCACAGGTATCCTGGTGAAGGCGAAACACACACTCCTCAGGCTACCAAGTCGGTGCTCTACTTCCTTCCAGCTCAGTTGCGAGCACCCAGCACGTCTCGGGGACACTCATGATTGTCATTGACATCCTCGGTCTTGTTTGTCTTGTTTGTTAGGTTAGGTTAGGTCAGGTTAGGTTAGGTTAGGTTAGGTTTTGTTTGTTTGCATGCTTGCTTGCTTGCTTGTTTTTTTTTGTTTGTTTGTTTGTTTGTTTGTGCTCCCACACAAATTGTGCTTGGAGGATCAGTGCAGGGGAAGGTGGATGCAGCCAGATATACTTGGAACAAAGTTCAACCTACAGCCCCCCAGGACCTATACAGCTTGCCTGTTTCGTCATGGTTCTTGTCGCGGAAAAAGGTTCCATGCTTTTGATCGCTGGCGCTGCTGGGTTCAAGGAACGTATCAACCCCAGAAAAGTCTGGGCAGCAAGTGGAGTAGTGGTGAGGAGAGCTCGCGAAGATGAACGAGTATGAGTGGCTTGCCGTTCTTGGCGGCTTTTTTGGGGTCTCACCAGTCTCACAATGTCTCTGTTTTCGTTTGCCAAAGGGGCAGGTGTTCGGTGCTAGGGTGGCCAAGTGCCAATTGGACACTAGTCAAGATGTTTCAAACTGAGACCAGTGTTCTTTTATTTTTCACATCAGTGGGTGAACCAAGGGTGCAGTGGAGCAAAGGCAAGGGCCTTGTACTTGTAATACCGCCATGCTACCTTTTGAGACCAGGAGTTTGCGCAGTGTGGCAGTGTGGTGAGTCAGTAAACGGACCCATCACTCAAAAACATGGGCACCAGCGATGTGCTTTTCCACCGCCTAGATCTGAGGTACATTTACATGAAGAAGCGCAAGGACTTTGGCCGATACTGTAATTTCGATACAGTGGAGGTGGCCTCCTGGGAATTTGGGATGATGCGAGTGTGCTGACAGGTGCATAAGATTGAGCTGCACAAATGGGGTCAACCATTTGGGCAGCCGAATCCTGCAGTGAGAGAGACAATTGTTCTCGGGCCATTTGATGCAAGCCTTCTAGTGACTAGTGCCAAAGCCGAAGAGATGTAATGTAACGATTGCATTGTTGGATTCCAGGCCAAGATCCTTGGGCAAGTGGAGAAGCAACCATCATGCGGCGACATGTATGTGGAGCAAACCATCATCAATGCCGCAACCTGGCGCACGCAGACACGAGCAAGCAACCCCCTCAAAAGAAAGCAGGTCAAAGCCCCTGCAGGGATTCGCAGCATCCAGCTGCTGGTCACGCAAACACCATACCCGTCGCAGGTCCCAAATTTGAGGGCATTCAGCTGACGAGCAATGTCGGACCGTTTTCCATTTTGGCACCAGGTCCCATTCAACTGCAGGTTCTGGTGTGGTGCGGCCCTTGCAAAGAGTGAACAGCGGACCGATATCGTGTTCATGACGGCAAGGAGGGGCACAGCGAGAGCGCTGGGGAACATTTCCCCCCGACCCCCAAGTAGATGCGACCAGTTTGCCAATGCATGTTTTTTTGTATGATGTCTTTGAAGCATTTTGAAGCTATATATAGACCGAATCTTTGGATGGATGGTCAGTCATCAAGATCCAACTCGGATGGGTTTGAGGGTCCCACAGTGGTTCATGTGGTTGGATAGCTCCCGCCCTCCTCAGCTTCCCATTGGCCCATCAGTGAGGAGCCACTGACCAGATGACCAGACGATGTTTGCATGGTCCCCAAATCCAATGACCCGTCCCCTATGTGATTTGTAGCTGGGAATGGTGGCGGTATGGAAGTCTTTCTCCAAAATTATTGACCTTCAATGCTCTTCCACCACATGGCGGAGCGCTGCAGGTCTTTCACAACATCCCGGAGTTTTCTGAGCACTCGGTGAACACGGCCAGGGTGAAGACCCACGCGCGGGTGATGACCCATGTGGAGGGTGGATGGCCAAAGGAGATCGACTACAGTCACTGGGCGTGAAACAATTCAGGAGTGTGGTAGAAGTGGCAAACATTTGACAGCCACTGAGTGTTGTAGAATCACGTGCGAGTCTTCAGCACTGAGAGACGACTTGGTTTTCACATCGCCGGCATTCCGGTCCACGATCGACCACGGAGGATCTACTCAGATTCACTCCACTTGAGTTGCACATCGTTGCAGCATGTGGCCCGGCTTTTTGCCTGGGATTGGTTACTTTCCCTAACTCAGGGTGAATCCCCCCTTCTGGGGAAGCGTTTTTCCCGGTTGCTTAGGCACCGAGAAAACTGAGGTGAAGCGCAGGATACGCTCAAGTACCGCAAGCGCCTGGAGAAGGAGCGGAGTTCGCCGTTGCTTCCCGATTCCACTCGGAGCACCGCTGGCCGGGTGCGGAGTCTCGATCGGTGGGGGTGCGGAGTCTCGATCGCCCACATCCACATGGTGGAGAGGAATGAATCGGAAGAGTCACGGGAGGATGAGCAAGCCAGGATTTTTGTGTCCTATGTCATGTCCATGTCCCTGCTTAGTTCCTGGACTTCCGGGGTGAGTCACCAATGCTTACTTTGGCATGGAATCAGAGAAGTGCCTTCCAACACGCAAGACGATTTGTTTGTCTAAGGGCCAGTGGTTTGGGTGTTCCACAAGCTACGCTCCCGAAAACTAACATAGACCCTGACAATGGCCCCTTGGAAGATTGTTCCCCTTTGCCAACCAGTGGTTTTCAGGGTCCATGTTTAGTCTTCCAGGGTGTAGTTTCTTGATGTTTTTTGGGCGAGTGTGCCATGGCCGCCTGATTGAGGCCCCTCACACGCATCCTAGCGCCAGGATCCGGCCTACATTAGTGCGGTGAGGCAACTGACGAAGCAGACCATTCCGTGCTTGGAGATGATGCTTGGTGGAATCTTTGGGTTCCCTCTCCGTGTTTGATTGAATTCCAGAAGTACTTCCAATCTGTGCCATGTCACCTGGCACATAGATGTGCAGAGGACCTGCAATCGCTGCAGCTAGGGGGAGTTTTTCGGCCTGGGGTATCCGAGCGGATCCGAGTGGGACTCAGTGGGTTGGGCGGATGAGAACCGCATGCTGCTGAGGAACAACACCATCGATCTCTTTGAGATTTATTTCCAAGATGAGGAGCCTGACCACATGCCGGAGATTCTCAACTTGAAGACCATCGCCCTTTTCAAGGAGCGCGCTTGTCGGGGTCCAACGAGCAAGCCGCCAGAAGGCAAAGATCATCAACGATCATGTCCAGGCCTTTGTGAAATCAATGCAGCATCATCGCTCCAGTTGGTGAAGGAGGTGCTATTTCTTTTTGTCATCTATGCGACTCAGGATTCTAGCACTGTGCTACCAGATGATCTTGTGCCAGTGGTGCAGACTAGAATAGAGTAACAGAGTGGTGGGAGATGGTGGGAGCGTTTGGCATCTCCCCCCACCCTCAACTCTTCCCCTCGCTTTCCTCGCTTCATATTGGGTGCACGACCGAGACATACCGAGACGCTAGACGTTCCAAAGGACCCCTCCGATGAAGCTCGGAGTGTGACCAAGATCGGGTGGCACCCGGAGGGGCCAACCAAGCTGCTTGGCCCATTTGGAGGTGTGGGTGCAACGAACCCCGCAACAGGATGCAACAGGCCCATTTGAGGAGGCAAAGGGTGGCAGACCTGTAAGGAGGAGATGACCATGACGACCAGGTTGGGGCATATGCGAGATACTTCAAGACTTCAAGATTCCAAATCAGCACAGGAAAAACAACTATGGCAGCACTGTTCGGAACAAAGTTATACACCAAAACAGCTCAGCCATGTCATCCAGTGCATGACCGGGCAATCGTTCCTCTACTTTTAACAACTCCAAACATCGTTCCGGGCAGCGCTCGACCGGGCCGTTCTAGCAGCTTCTAGCAGTTGAATGCTGACCCAAGGCTGGTCGGGTCCTACTCGAATCTCCGATTCCAGCGCAGCTTGGCGGGCTGTTCGGGAGGTGGTCCCAAAAATAAGGTTTTGTTGGTGGGAGTCGTAGGTGTGCAGTCCAAGTACTAAGCTTATACTAAGCTCTTGTGTTTGATATTCTGGGATGCTCTAGCATGCGCCAGCATTTCTAGCAGAAGGCCCTTTGGTTTCTTGGAGGTCCCTCATCCGAACGTCCCAGCTGAGTGTCCAGCATCGATCAAGCGTGATCAAACATAAGGCTTGCCAAACAATTGGCTCTCCCAAAGACCGGGCCATGTTACTACTCTACTTGTATTTTACGCTAGCATGTTATCATATGTTATCCAGTTGCGGCACCCAACAAACATGGAAGTAGGAACAGTTAGAGTATGTCAGAGTCCGAGCGAAGTCATCTTCCAAGCTCCAAAGGTACGCCTCAAATTAAGTACGAGGCAAAAACCTGCCGGGAGACCCTGTTCCCAGTCACCCTCCCTCAGGGATGTCGGAAGACATGCCGATGGCCTCCTTCATTTGGGACATTAGCGAGCGAAACGTGCCGCTGATGGAGTTGCGAGCCACCTCCCCACTGATCTGCTGCCAGTACAATCAGAAGAATCCCGATTGGCGACTTGGGGCCTGACGTGGATGATTTGGGGAGCAGCGGTGCGGTGGAGTGGTTTCGGCCCCAAACTGAACTGGATGCAGAGTTTCCAGAACCATTGGCAATCGAATGTCTTTCCTTTCCAGATGAAATATGCTTGGGCCCAGGTCTTGCCCTAGCCACCCCAGATGTGTGATCTCACTCGCATCCACCTGGACAAGTTGTTTTCACCCATCAGTTTGAATGTATAGATCAAACCAAGATTTGTTTTTTGCAGGCCATCGAAGGCCTTTCCTTCAGGTTACAGTACAGCCCTCAATAGGGAAGCCCCAACGGCAGAAGGAAGGTTTGTGACAGGCAGTGAGGGGTATGGGTTCAGCGAGCCGCATGCAGGATGATTGGCGGCAACATTGGAAAACTGAGTAGGTCCTCCTGCGCTTGGATTGAACAACTACTTCTATAGATTGTAGATGGGCCCTGACCCAGACCCCAGAACTGCCAATTCTGCTGGCCGAGCAAGCCCCAACGGTTCGCAGATGGCAGGTGGGTTTGGGGGGGCAGTCGTGGTGGAACACCCCAGTGGGCAAGTGGCCGTTTTCTAGCTTTGGTCCAAGCACTCATGGGGTGTGCTCTCAGGCTGCTTGGAGGAAGCTACAGTGGCTTGATCAACCACTACGATCTCCGGAAAGGCCCGTCCCCGTGCATGAAGTCCTCTGTCGAAGTGGGCCACTACGATCCAGTTCCTGGGCCTGAGACCAGGGAAACGGTGCGAAAACCATGAGAACACGGTGGAACCTGGTGGAACTGCGGTCAGGGGTCCCCCAAAAGTCACAGCCGTGGTGGAGCCTTGCCTTCAACTTCTGCCGTGAAGTCGTTCAAAGATTGGGTGAAAGGTCACGTTGATCATGCCGGCCTGGGAGGCTTGCAAGACATCGCAGGACCATGTCAGGAGACGAGGTTTATTGGACATAACGCGTGGAAGAGGGGCCCTTGGCTTAGGGTGTAGCGGTGTAGCATTCGAAGGGTGCCAAGTTGGTGGACTTTTTTAAACCAGCACAAGAGTGGCGTATTGCCTCTGAGGTCTACGATGTGGTCTGGCTGCAGAGCAAGACTGGCATCCTGGATGTGCATCAGACATCCTCAAACCCAGACTGCTGTTGTGTTTCTTGCTGTTTCTGTCTTGTTTGCGGTCCCCTCCTCCCCTCATCCTCCAGCGGCCCGCCGGTCTCCACCGGTGGACCCAGGCACCGAGTGCGCCTCCGTCTCCTCGGACGGCCGCTTGCTCTTCTGGGACGTCCGGAAGCTCAACGAGGTGCGGCGCCGACGACGTTCTCCCCTTCGAACCCCCCCTCCCCCGAAGGAAAGGACGGAGGAGCGATGGAGTGGAGTGAGTGCTTTTCTGGTGCTTTTTCTGGCTTGAACCGCTGGACAAGAGAAAAGAGTTGGATATCTCTTCACTGGATGTAGGAACTTCTGGTAGTCAATCTGTAGTCCATGCAGAGACCCCCGTCAGATCATAACTTTTAAGGGTCAAGGGGTGACATGAGACATGTTTTCCAGAGTTGGTTTTGTTCTATTTGATTCTATCCACTTGGTGGAGGAATCACTTTGCCACTCACCGTTTCCGGACCCATCACATTTCTAAAACCGGTTCAACATGGTTAAGAATTTGAAGGTGCCACGTCGAAGTGGATGCTTGGGGAAGATCGAGCCGATATGGATGTTGGTGTGGGTCAAAACCTGGAGCCCAAAAACCATGTCCCTTGTTGTTTATTCTGATCTTCCCAGCAAGGCACCATAAGGATTGCCATCAGAGGAGAGTGTTCATTTGGTGGTCACTATATTTAGGGGCCCGCTTTGGTAAATCGATGCTTTTCACCGCTTTCCATGGATTGGAACCAGCTGAAGTTGATGGTGAGTGCTCCTTTTCATGCCTGGTGCGTGGAATATCAAACATGGAGCTGTTTTTTTCCGGTTTTTTAGCACCTCCCACCCCTGGCATCCTTGCTAGGTGTCAGATGAGTGTGTGCTGACCGATGGCAACAAAGAGAGCCCCAAGACCTTAGGCTCCTTGCCATTTCGCTCAGCTGCTGGAGAGTGGGAGGTCGCCCGTTACTAACCCATGATTGGGTGGGCACAAAGGAACTCACCAGCAACAAGCTAAGCAGCCATGAAATGATGCAACCCAAAGTTGCAAACGCCACTCCACAGTCACCAGCAGAAGTTTGTTTAATATGACTTGACCGACTTGACTTAATATGACTTGCCTTCAATTGCAGATAGGTGCTTCGCAGTGCAACGTGTTGATGCCTGCCGTTCCTTGCCCTGTTTTTCGGAACAACCCTGCTCGGACTGACCTGGGTCTTCTTGTGATCCTCCCAGTGTGGATCACCTTGAGCCTCTTTCCGGAAACTGAGACGCTAGTGACCCTTTGGTGTCCTGGATCCCACTTTTGGGAGGGCAGACGGGCGAATGGAGGGCGAGACGATTCATCCCCGCGGCGCGGTCCCGTGGCACGCCGGTCCTGAGGTGGAGTGTCTTTGGAGTGGATGCAAGAAGCCGGTCCTACCAAGTTCCTGGTGGCCTCGGCAGTATGGGCAGTCATGGCTAGTCAGGAAGTGGAAAAGAATGGGGCGTCAATGGACATGAACCGACATGCAAGAGGAAGAGAATTGACATGCTCTGCAGGTCCTAGCCGAGCCATGGTGAACTTTTTAATTTGTTGTGTTTTCAGTCAGGTTTGGCAGCTCCAGCTTCAGATCACCACCAACTAAGTCCAGAACACTGAGCTGATGTTATATAATTGTATTCATGTTTTATCATTGTCAGATCCAGTTGATCCAGTGATCCTGTTTTCCTCCTGTTCCACGCGGCACGACGCGAGCTTGTTGAACGGTGTTCTGGACCCCCCCCCTCCGTGCTGACCAAGGTGGGCTCCGAGCATGGTATCATTCTCTCCTGCACCAAGCGCCCCAAGAAACAGGCTGGAGACCAAATTCAGTGAACTAATTGCAAGTTGTTGTGGATTGGAGGTGACTTGCCATGACTTCACCCCATGAACAGATCTCACCAGAGCTACTGTTTTTGAATGATGGAATTTAGATGAGAGTGCACCATAGTGCACCTCCAAGTTTGCTTTCGAAGGCAGAAGTGTCGTATTGTTCAGCATCGTAGGCACTCTGTGGAGAACCTTGTGTTGAGGTTGGCGTAGGCTCTACTTCGATCTTGTTCTACATATTTCTACATGATCTTATACGAAAGCCAAATCACCATCAATGACTGACTACTGGGATTTGAAAGGGCTCAAGGGAACTTGTATATCAACTTATATACCTGCGAGTGAGTGTTGGTTGGGGAAACAATTGCAACAGACCTGGTTGACCTGGGTGGGGGTCCCAGTTCATTGGCCACAGAATCGCTCCAAGAGAGGTGTCACAGCAGTGCAACAATGTCGTTGAAGGGAGAGGAAGCATAGAGGGCTGATGCAGCCAACATACATGCACAAACTTTGGTCCGGAGTCTTGAGCTTTTGGAACCCCTTGTCATGCACATCATATTTATCATTGTATTGTATCCCTACAATGACCTCATTTTACTGGAGTCACTCATACAAAAACACTACTCAAGGAGGTAAAAGACCAGGGTTTGTTGAGTCTGTGGACTTGCAGGGTATGTACAAAATACATATATACATATATATATATACATATTGGTCGCACCTCCGAGTCCCAGCTCTCACCCAACCTCGGCTTCGCCCGCCGATGGACGCGCCAGCTCTGCCCGATCAGGTGGAGATCGGCACCTGGTTCGGCTCCGAAGACCGGGGCGGCTACGGGAAGCACTTCGGCCCCGTGTACTCCGTGAAGCGGCCGCTCGGTACGAAGAAAGAGAGGCACCAGCATCCGCATGAGCATGATCATCATATATTGCAAGGAACGGGACCGGATCCTGGGTTTCAGAGTTTCTCTAATATTTGTAACCTTTGTTTAAAGCTTCGGCGTTTGCTTCGCAAAGCTTGGAGTTGTTTTAGTCAGGTCGTTGATCCGACTTGGGGGGGGTGGAAGGAGTTAGATGAACTCCTGCAGGCCACGAGGCATCCGAGGCGTTTGCAGCTCCCCTATGGCTTGAACAACGTCCACCATAATTAGAGTGGGCCATTCGTGTTGAGCCATGCCAAAGGGGTGAAACAGAAGAACTCCCCTTTGGCATGTGCACCGGTTCTTTCTCTTTTTTTCGTCTCAGGGGGCCTGTACCCGTTCGTGTGCAAGGGGTCGGGGCGGAATCTCCGAAATCTGAGAAACCCCTTCCACGTGAAGTTCTTCCTCTCCGTGGGCGATTGGTGCGGGAAGATGTGGATGGAGGAGCTCAAAGGCGGTCACCGTGCGGGGACGTCGGTCGGACGAAGTCTTCGGGGCAAAAGCGGTCATGAAGAGCCGGCATGGCACGAGAGGGGTTTAGGGTCTGAGGATGTGTGAGGGTTTAGGGTTGAGGAGGTCTTATTCTGTTGAACATGTCGTGCAAAATGCTGAGGAGTAAAAACCCTGGGGCGCCGGGAGGGATAGGATATCAGGTTCGGTGACGGAAGTTTACACTTCAAGGGTCAACTATAATCAAATATATATATATATAGGTAAAGATAATTAAAAATCAAGGTAAGATTTGAAACGAGCTGAGGCAAAGACTACGCGTTTCATACTTCATTCTTAGTCTTAATATACATGATACTTGCAAAGACTTGCTACAGATCGGTTGAGCAAGTACGAACTTGGTCCTGAAAAAAAGAGGGTTTGGAGAGGGTGTTGCGTCCGGATCCCGACCAGAATGGGGTTGAGGAGCAGGAGGGTGAAGGGTAGATGTTTTGACTTGAGGTCATGGATTTACCATGATTTACCTCGTGCCGCTTCAGCTGCCATGTCCTACATCCAGCACCATTGGTCTAACCCCAGGACCGTGGCCTCATTCGACCGGGCCGCCCTGTGTGACACATGGCGCCGGGCTGCAGGTCCGATGCTTCAGACGCCCTACTACCCTGCCTTCATCAGCGCGGCAGCATGGAGTCCGACGCGTGCGGGCGTGCCTTGGAGTGGCAGCTGGGTTCAGCTGGACTTGAGGGCCATCGAAGTCAGAAGCACGAAGAGCAGTTGCTGGGACGGCTTTGAACTTGCCAAAGTCCAATACTTTTGGGCGTGATTGAAACGGGGGAGTTCTCATAGGTTTTAAGCTGTTCTTTTTTCCACAGTGTGTGCTATGATGTGCTATGCCCATGCTAGTTTGGGGAGGGCATCATTTAGGATACATCGTTGGTGAAATGCTGGTCCAATGAAAGGACATGATCACATTCCGATCTCCAGACTTGTATACAGTAATACCTTTTGGTATGTCATCTCCGGCTGTTTCCACTGCCTCCTTGGTATGTCCACCATCCGGGCGGCGAAAACAAGCGACTCCTTGCGCCGGAAAGCCGTCCTCCACCCAGGTCTTCTTCTTGGCCCGGCAGGATGGGCGTTTGGATGTGTGGGACTACTTCTACCGCATGAACGAGGCGGCACTTCGTGAACTGGTCGTTGGAAATTTGGCAGGCTTGAGTTTTAACACATATACATAAATATATATATATATATGTATATCAATATTAATTATGTATTATGTATATTACTTGTTTAAAGCGTCTTAAAAGCTACTTGACATGTAATTAACAGACCTTTGTAGACAAGAGAGGTGTCATATATCGTGCCTTTACTCAATTGGCTGCGTTCCGTGTGGGTTCCCCCGCACCGGTGCCAGGTGGCGCTCACACAGCAGGTCTCGGACCGGGCGTTGACCTCCTTGAAGCTCGGTGCTCGCGGGCGGGTTGGGGTCGATGCGACAAGCGCGGTGGTTCGACATGGACAGAGCTGGATGGTCCCACTATGTTACTAAATGTTTATGGCACATTCGATGAAGGGGAAGGGAAGTCTTTGTCACCAAGTGTAGGGTTTCTATGGGCTTCTTGGGTCAGCCCCACCAGCCCCAGCATTTGCCACCCAAGGAATGTTCAGTCTCACGGCCGTTTGGCTGCTGTTGGAGATGCAGGAGGCGGGCAGCAAAAAGAAGCGCATACCACAAGCAGACAGGATCCCGCTCAATGTCTTTTTCCTCACTAGCATCTCGAGATCTCCGCAGGCCACCCTTGGCATAGAAGGTATATGCACGCTTGGCACCCCTTGATCATCCCAAGCTGATGATTTCCAGTGGCCCCCAGCAGCATCCACACAATTGTGTGTTATTAATTTTGGCCACGGGCCACTTCAACCGGTTCCTCTGCCTTGGCCAGCCTGGCCGTAGGCGTCATCACCCTGCTGCAGCTTTGCGATGGCTTAGTAGAGCCAGGCGAGGTTCTGGGTTTTGAGCTAGATACCGTACGTACAAGCAAGACGAATGCGAGTCGAGACACCCTGTTTTCTTGTTTTCAATATTTTGACTCAGTAGTTGTTTTTGCATTATCCGTTAACATGTCGCAAGTTGTTTCCGAAGAGGAGCGGAATTCCAGTCGTACAGCTGGCTTTTTGTGTTGGGTTATATACTCAATTCAAGTATACATCCAAATGAGTCTGTTACTTTTATCCACATCTTTGATTAGTCGTAGACTCGTTAGACCGGATTGACCTCAGGGCCCAATGAGAAAAACGCGATTGGCTGGATGTTCGACCGGGAGACCAAGAGAGAGAAGGCCTTGGATCAGATCAAGAAGCAAGGTGGAGGACCCAAGAAGGACTGCTCTTCGATGCTCCATGCATCTTGGAAGTGCAGCAATTGATGCGGAGGATCATTTTCTTTGTACCCAGCCAAGAGTTTTCACATCGTTTCATACTGTTTCACGATGTTTCACCGACTCCTGACACCACTGTTCTTCGTTCCGCGCGCAGGATGACAAGGAGGGGGCCACTGGAACCAGCATTGACAAGACCAAGTACCAAGAGCGTGAGAAGGCCTTCTTCACCGAGCCACTTGGAGGAAGTTGAAGTTCTACCCCCGGTGTGGCGGGGAAGCGGCCCTTACCCCTTGGTGCCGAGTGACGATTGTAGGGGATGTGGTAGTTTGAGAGATGGCAAGACTTGCGTAGCTGTCAGGCAGTTTCTGTAGATCCTCATTATCATGGCTGTGTGCCACCTATGACCTACTAATAGTGGCAAAGGCTATTTTGCACACGCGCACACACACACAACCTCCTTCATGGGCGCGTAGTTTCCTATGATGTTCTGCAGTCTAGCTCATGGATTTCACTTGTGAACTTGCTTGAAGCATTCCTAAGCAATCCATCTATATACACTCTCTGAAAACATCATGGAAGTGGATGGCATGGCCCCTTGGACGACCATATTCCGAACACCTAACAGGTGGCGACCTCCGTTTCCTGGATTATTGTTTCAAGGGGTCTATCGCATGTTATATCGACCTTTAGCCAACCAGCAAACCGTGGTGCTTCTCGGGCTGATTGGCTGGGCCGGGTTCCAGAGCTCCCTTCCTCATTGGTCGAGCCAGACACCCGCTCCTTTTGCGCCCTTCAATGCCTTCGTCGCATTATTTGCTACACGACTTGCGGGCAGCATGAAATGTGCCAGTGATTTCTTTGTACTTAGTTGTGTTGTGTTGAACTTGTTGCACTGATGTGTGAAGAAGATTGTAGCCACGTTTTCTCCACCACTGAGGCTCAACATGACGGGTGATGACTTAGGCACCACCCTGCCAGCTCGTTAAGCGGCGGGATATGTGGTCGAAAAAGGATTCCTTTTCCTCAGGACTTGGGCGAAGGAAGGCGGGGACTGGTGATGTTTAGATGAAGCCAGTTCCACGACTCCTCGATGCTCAATCCTTGCAGCCTCAAGTCTCACAATGATGGGAACTTGATCACCATCCCACCATCGCTAGGATCCCAGCAGCGGAATCTCAAAACTGCGGACTCATCATGGTCGATGTGATGATGGTGCATGTTCACACAGGGATGGATATATATATATATATATATTGTTCACACTTGGTGGGAGCATTCAGATTCCCATTGGCACAGGGTGCCGGTGACTGAAGCTCGCATCCTATGCTCGCATGTGACTTGAAGCGTTTCACCCTCAGTCGCCTCAGCCGCCTGACGTCGAAAGTGGCAAGGCAAAAAAGGTCAGTGCTCTTTAGGCGGCTATGACATTCCTGGTTTTGCTTAGGAGGATTCTGTTTAATTTTCCCTAAGTGAACCCCCTTCCGTTGCCCGCCCAGGAAATCTTTGATCCCGGTTCCTTAAGCAGATCCAAGCACTCGGACACCTTTTATATAAAAAACGGTGGCCCAAGACATGCAGAAAAATGGGACCGCGTGGAATTTAGACCAAATGAGTGTCGCTGACGGCATTCACGTGACATCACACGTCATTCACGCGCAGCAGGGGCAAGAAGCAGCGCTTGTGCTTCAGTTCCGGTATTGCCACTTGAGCTGTGGTATGATGTAGATTCACCTGTTCTTGCCAAGTCATGGGTGAAAAACTAGTAATTATCTCTTAGATCTTAGATCATCTTAGATCTATTTGCGAAAATCAGTACAAAACGCAGCACCTCGCCTTTTTTTGGCACTCTATTTATTGTGACCTGCCCAATGCGTCCCACCTCCCAATGGTTTGCTGTGGATCAATCCTTTGTCTCGCCCTTGAGAAACAAACCGCATTGAAAGCTGCTACAGCTTGGAAGATGGCTTTTCCCGACGAGCATTGCTTGGATCCTATGGGGCTGCTCGCATGATGCAGGGGATCCATCCAAATGCTCCTCTCCCTCAGGCGCTTCTGGTCAGTGCTGGGACCTCGCGCGGCAAGAGTTGCACTGCGTCATCGAGGCGCCGCGGCGGGCCGTCGGGGCCGGGGTGGTGGCTGTGAAGATCCCAAGGAGGCTCTACTGTTTATGGTTGACCCAAGTGTGCTTGGAGTCCATGAAGCCGGTCCAGGGCAGCTCGGGCTTGGCATGGTCCAGGGCAGGTGACATGACAGTTCTTGAACGGTCACGAAACATCAGGCTTGAGGTTTTCAGGATCCCTGAGTCTCGAAGTGCTGTGACGGAGATGTTAGGAGCGCCAACATCTCGACTAGACCAGGAAAGATGAACGAAAATACAACATGCATGATGATCATGATGCTGCAGTAGAATTAGGATGAATTAGGCATGTATGGGCTATAAGCACTCTTTTGGGTTTGTTCATTGTTTTGCGCATGTCTTCCAACTTCGTCATGAGTCTGGGACTTGTGCCTTGCAGCTGCCTATGCCGTCAGGACCTTGAGGCTTTGATGGGAGCCTGGGGGTCAGGGTTATGGGGGAACCTCGTTCGAAGCGAAACGGATGTGGCACCGGGCCCTGGACCGTGCGAACGCGACAGGATCCTTTCGCCTACGAAATGGGGTCAAACACCCAAGTTCCAGGATGTTGACATTCCACTGGTATGGTGTTTAGACTTCGCGTTTCTTCCACATATATCAGCAGCAAAATCGACAGCGCGCAGGCTGCATGCACCGTGCACAGATATCATGCTTTCGGCAGGGCCATTGGATAGAACAAATTTCATTGTGGTATAGACGGTATCGAATGTGACATATGATATGGAATTGATGGAATGAGGCAAGCAGCGGCTCCTCCCTGAATTCAAAGAGGAACCCTGCCACAGCAGTTTCAAGGGGGACACAGTGGGGCACAGCTGGAAGGCACAAACCCAGCTGCTGCGGGTTGAACGCCGTAAAAGCATTGTAAAAGCTGCACATAAGCGTGGACCTGATGAAAGCCTGGGGACTAGGGCTGTTCTTGGAGAGTATTTTGGCGGGGAACTGCCCGATTTCGCTCTGTTGGACAAGGACTGGGCGCACATTTCTTTGGGTCTCTGGGTGCGGATCCGGGTGTCCAACAGCTTGGTGGTTCTCCGACCTCATGGGCTGAACATGTTCCTGTGCTCCGTACACCGCATCTTTTGGATCAATGGATGAGCCTTGCACGGCATGAAAACCAGCACTCGCAAAGTGAAGTGTAAAGTGATTTGTGTCCACACATTTGGCCTGGAGTGCTCATTCACGACATTCTTGGCCAATCCTAGAGAGCACCTCAAAGATTTGGCTGGCTTCTGAAGAGTTTCCGGAGTCTTGTTCGGCAGAAGCCCAGGTCAGGACCTCTGCAGAGAGGTATTAGAGAAGCCTGGCTCCACAGTAGTTGCGAGTACACCAAAACACGCACAGGCAGGCAGGCAGGCAGGCAGGCAGGCAGGCAGACAGACAGACAGACAGACAGACTTATTTTTGGGGGAAGTGAGGACTCCAGAACCACCCCTGAAAGGTTGATTCAACTCTCGATGTGCAAAGGGTTTCAATCGCTTTACGTCTTACAGATCAGAGTGATCAATCAGCTCAATGTCCCGATGCAGTGGCAGAGCCACCCTTGGATCCCCCGCGCTGTGGTTCAGCACACTGCCATGGGGCCTGCGTGGTGTGCGTGGCCTGCATGGCTTGGGGCTAGCTTTGTGTGGTCATGGGCCACCGCCATGGAGATTGGCCAGTCTGCCTGCGCCTGGGATGGGATGGCTACAGGATTGGTTGGATAGGTGCAGTTCAACTTGGATAGAATTCCCCTAAAGATGTGTGACTAGAAAGCATAGATGACCCGGTGGGTCCCTGCAAACTATGTTTAGATCTTTGGTGGGAAGTGAGCAAAAAGCACCCAAAGAGACATATCAGCCTGTTGTTAGATGTAGTAAGGCATTGTGAGGGGAACTTTCGGGTTCAGGGTCACTTTATGTTATTCAATATAATAGGACAATCCATATAACAATATAAGTATTGTGCTGTTTTGTGTGCACAACATCCCTGTCTGTTGGGATAGTTTCTTGAGATGTCCTGTAGATGGGAGCCATTGGGAGTCCATATAGACCACAAAACGTGGGGATTTTGCAACCTACTGACCAGGCAGTGTATATAGTTCAGCCGCTGTGAGGTTCCATCCGCCGACCTCAAGATTGCCCGGTGCGCGCCGTGCTGGACGGCGCAGCTTCAGCAGCCTTGCGCTTCGATGGCCTTGGCGCTGTTTCCGCCGGAGGCACGTCCCAAGAACCAAATGCTGGTGCTCACTTTGACTAGGATTTCCAGTTACACCCTGTGTGTAGTCGTGACCTAAATTACATCTAACAATACAAAACCAAAAAAAAACATTTCTGTTTTTTTCAGAGTGGCATGGCAACAACTAGTGTGCACTTGTGCAGGACATCAGATGTGGGGACACGTTCCTGGGGTGATGGTGGCGAGTGCCAAAGGTTGATCACACACACAATATATATATAGTTATAGTATCGTTGGCAATTAGCCCTCATGAAGCCATTGTCCATTTCCACCGAGGGCTGGAAAACCAAATGGAAGATAGTGGAAGGCCAAAGAATTGCCCAACAATCGTGCACATTGACTGGGCCCTGGGCCCTTTGGTGATAAATATCGCCAAGCCTTACCTTACCAACTATTATTTTTCTTGAATTTTGGTGCTTGGCTCAAGACGGACAAGTCCGGCAAAGTCCAGTCAGGAACCTCCAGATATCTCTACGACTATGCGGAGCCCATCCGCTCGGAAATTCTGGATTTGCTGCCCCTTGGGCCTCCGCTGTGGTCCTTTCGACTTTTGCTGGCGTGTAGCGATTTCAAGCAAAGGCATCATTTGGCCATGGGCCCGAGGCATATAGTAATATAGTTATAGGACATGGCATGAGTTGCGCGAGGATTCTCAGGACTTGCTTCCCCTTATTTACCCTTCGCGCCTACACAAGGTGCCAGGGCCTTGACAAGCACTTCAGTTGTTCTCGCAGAGTGGCCGCAAGACTATTTAAATCCAACAGAACGAGGATGGGAAGGCCGATGTTCTTTGCGTTGTTGACTCCCAACCGACCTTTGGGGCGATCAATTGGGTGAACATTTGGTGCCGAAAGCGCTTGAAATTCGCTTAGTCTCAGAGCCACTCTCCTCGCAGAG